TTTCACCAGCTATGATAAAGAACCCAAAGTACCTCCACACACTGCTTCTCCTTCTCTAATTCCATTCATTGACTTTACTGACAGGTCAAGCAGGGCCAAGCAATAGGTCAGGCTAATAGTGAATTATAAGTGCGCCCTCTGCTTCAAGGAAACTTCCAGTTCTGTAATGGAGGTGTCGATTAAATCTTCAATTCAAACCTTTTATTTTTTCCCCAAGTTTGAACGAATGTTTGAATTTCAATTAATAAGGGACGGCCCTATTCCTGATGTGATGTAGTTTAGCTGCCGTATGACAGAGCGAGACGTCTGAATTCAACCTTTTTACTTAGAATAACACATCAAGAATAAAGATTATTAATGTGATTACCCAAGAATTGTGTTCAAGATATAACTTCAACCTCTGGCATCTCACTTGACTCGGGGCGGTCAGTCATTCAGTTAAACCAATCAGATTGGGCCGTGGTTGCTGCTGTCAGAACTCACAAGTCGCTGTGAGCTGTCATTTCAGCGCGAGATCAGTGCAACTCTCTACCCCTTTACATGATGGCCTCATGGTGGGATCTAATCACCAAAGACTCCTCACATGCTTCTTCATCTTTCCTATTAAGCAGACTAAAACAAATTACTAATTTAATTACTCTTTAAGCGTCTATCTCTCTTAGTCTGTGCTGATTGAATGGAGACTTCGTCGTCAACGGACAGGACGTGCTGATAGCAATGATGCTGCAGCGTGTGTTGATATCTGAGGTAGCTGTGTTGGTTGATTGGGTTTCAATCTGTGTGTATGCTGATCCTCAGATAGCACATGAGGACTCTATTTCCAGGGTTAGAAATGATAACGGGAGGTAAAGTCCTTTAATTCAAGCTCAGCTCTGCATGGACACGACAGGGTGTTGCAGAGTCTTCAAGACTGATTGGTTTTTGATAATCTGGCTTAATTGTTGGATTGATTAGAACTTGATCGTCTTGACTGTTGGTGTTTCTTCTTGACGAACTTCAATGTCACCGTGTTCCCAGGTTTCAGCCGTTATGTTCATGAGTGCAATGCTGTCATAATAAAAAAAAAAACAGTTGTAATAAAGTGGAATTTTCCTGTGCTATATGTAATTTTTCTCTGCCACCAACTGTGGTTTCTTTCCATGAGCAGGCGGTGACGGCGGTGATGTTTGCCAAGAGCTTTAGCTGTTGCTGTGTTTACAAGAGGTCAGAATAAACCCTCCGGACAGTGCTACTTCTCCCATCCTCTCCTGCTGAACCGAGCAGTCTGGATGCTACAGTGACTGACTATCGCAAAGTAGCACCATGAGACGGGATGGGCGGGGGGCTAGCCGGTTAGCATGCTAACCTCAGTAGAAGAAAAGAAGTGATAGAAATAGAAGCAAATGAAGCGTTAACATCCTGCAGATTAGATGCAGTTTAAAACTCCCCCTCTAGAGACAGCTCTTGGCGAGTAAAGGAATTAAGTTTTGGTGCTAAACTCGCCATGTTTCTTCTAAACTGGTAAGGAATTAGCTGTTAATGTTAAAGTTGGCTATTTAGTGATATTAAAAACTTACTTATAGCACTTTTAATGCAGATCCAGTGTGCAGTGCACTACAGCGCTTGTGCTTTGCTTCTAAATAAGTTCTACATGAGTTCAGACTTTGGTGTTTGTGTCAGTGACAACAAGCGGCTGTTACAACTACAGACTTGACTGCAGACTGAATGTGTTTTTCTCTACCTCAATCCCCTTCACTTACTCCTGGCTAAGCACTTCAAATAATTGAACCTCTCAAATTTATTTGCATTGCCCAGTCAAAAAGGTAATGGAGGTTGAATGTTTATAGAGTCTGTACAGTTGGATGTGCAGTGCTTGAGAGGGATTATTTATTGAAAAAGCCAAAGTGTTCACATCTCTGTCTTTGTCTTGAGTAGGATGTTTTTTCTGGTCTCTCATTCAAAGCCCCTTTAAGCTTGAACCCTTCTCAGTCTTTGAACTGATGTGAACTCAAGAGCACACAAAGATGCTCTTCATATACATAATATAAGTACATCATCAAATATAAACAGCCTCATGAGCACAAACGGCCTGAGTCATTTCCTTTTTATTCAAATAACGTGAGCAGGAAAAATCTGTGAATATGATTTCCTTTAGCCTGGCAGGTACTGACAGTTGACCTTTTCCATTAACAGTGGTGAATAAAAAGCCCAGGGCCCGGTGCCCTTCACTTGCCTCCCATTGAGCATGAGCAGAGCATGTTGTACATGTTACTCATGGGTAACCCTCCAAACCAAAGGTGAGACCCCATCAATCATACTGAACAAAGTCAAGGCCGACATTTCTCCTGGGAGCTGACAGCAGAACAAAGAGCTGATGCTTCACTGTTCTGTTTTAAAAGGAGGATGCCAACAACGAGCACGGGCCAAATCCAAATCCCTCCACCAATGTATTGTTCTATAATCCCTCTGGTGAGGTAACGGACATCTTTCTTTTCTTTCTATCTTTTTTTTCCAAATTGGTCAAACGTATCAGTGGATAAGTCCGAGAAATCTTCAGTGACCACGTGTCTGTATTAAACACGCGGGGTCCTGAACCCAGGGTTCAGAAACAGTTTTAGATGATCACAGTGCCTCCGTCAGTAGACAGTACAGATGAGCAGTGTTGCATGTGATCCTATTAACAGTTGCCCCAAAATGCTTCCGTAGCCCTGAGTGCTAAGTGGATTTTTGGGACATCGCAGGACCAGACAGGCTTTGCTTCAGTAACGATGACATGTGCTAAGTGTCTATTCATTAGACTAATCAATGATCTAATAATTTCTCATTAGGGAGGGGGTTACACAGTCACTGGAACCAGTTAGGTAACTTTGGGAAAACACTAATATAAACTGAGTTTATTAAATGTAGATATTTGGAGCAATGATTCAGTGTTGTTAACTTCAGTGTTGTCTTTTAGGATGTCTGGCAATTAATTCAGAAACTACTGACAAAACCGGAAAGTTGTTTCAGGAGTTGGAATTGGATGGACAACAAATTTCAAAGTGACCATGTGATTTGGGAAGTCATTTTTTGTGTGTGTGGTGAAACAACACAGAAATCATCACAGTGATTTTTTTATGATTCACTGTTGCTCGTGGAACAATATCCTCCAATACAAAAACATGAAAGTCAGAGCATCGCTGTTCTATCTCCCTCCGAGATAAGGAGGAGGCTGTTTTTGGATACAAAGTGAAGTTCTCCACAGTGGTTTTTTCAGGATATGCCTTTTGGCCACAAGCAATATGAAAACAAGCAGCAGCTCTGTGCGTGACAGCTCCGACAGACTGATTTCCAAATCTGAATGAAAATTGAGTTTCTCTTTTTTCTTTTTTTTTTCCCCAAACTCTCCCTCCTCCCTGTCTCTGTATTTTCTCTCTCTGTTTCTTCATGGAGTCACACAACTCAGGATAAAATCAATTTTTTACTCAAGCTAAAACATTATCAACCTGTGCTGTCACACTGCTTCAGTTCACAGAGCTCCATGTCTTTCTTTTGACTTTGTTTGCGTTCATCTTTTAATGATGCTTCACGGTGTAAAATGCAACTCAACCACAGAATTCACCACATTTGTTTCGACAACTTAACTTTATATTTTAGTCCAAAAATTTGATACATTTGTTCAATGTCCTCATGAGTAATTTTATGATCCAGGTATTTTTTTTCAGCTGGCAAACTACTATAGCTGGTGAGCTTACCGGTATCATGCTAGCTAGCCCTCAAAAGGAGCTAGTTGTAAGTTTTGCTATCACTACATAGCTAACATTAGCATTAACAGTTTGCTTACCAGTCTAGAAGAAACGTTGTGAGTTCAGCATCAAAATTCTTCTACTGAAGTTTGCACATTAACCAGCTAGCCCTGGCCTGTCTGTCTCTGATAGCGACTCACTGTAGCCTCCAATTTGCCCTGAAGATGTAGCGCTGCTCAAAGCTCGTGTTATTACCTCTTGTATTATAAAGACAACGATGGCTGAATGGCAAGAAACCAACACATTTGGCGGCAGAGTAACAAATAGCCCCTTTAAAATGCCAATGCTAGTTAGCCTACCAAATTAGCTTGCTTGCTAACTGATAGTTGCTAACCTTGATGGCAAATGAGCTAGCTGTCTTCCATAAATACAGGAAATAAAAAGTATTTATAGTTGAATAGTTGAATGGATCACACACTGGAAGGTGGAATGAAATGCCGGCTGGGTGGGGGAGGGGTGCAATATTGGTTGTCGACAAAAAAGGTGCCGCAACTGGTTGTATAATAAATTAAAAAAGGGAGCTAGAGGGAGCTTACCTCCACACAGCTGACCAGTCACGGCATGAAGTGAATGTGAATGTTGGAGGTTAAAGAAATGGATGGAGACAGAGCGTCGCTATCCAACATCTGACCATCCAAGCAGTTCGGAAAGAGTATAAATCTCACTTAAGATAGTTTTTCCTCTGTATGCCGAGCAGGAACTGAATAAGAACTTTCTATTTAATTTATTTCTGTCAAAATATGTTTTTTATAAATACTGTGGCGGCATTGAATCATATGAAACCTGTATTTTGAATTGAACCAAACTGTTAGCAGCCTGCATTGTTGTAATTCAAAGAAGTTGTTATACGCTGTGCTTGAATTAGGTTCAAACATTTATTAGAGATAAGAAATTCAAGACACTATTAACCAAACAAGTTATTTTCATGCTAATTGCGCTTTAGGGTAAGAAAACTTATTATGCAGTTTGAGAGCTGTCAATCGCAAGAGTCAAGAGCTCTTTGCTGAGAATTTTGGACAAAAATATGGCTTGATTGGCTAAAAAAAAAAGAGCTATGACTACATCATTAAAAATAAGAGATGATTAAGAGTGCTCTATCTGCCTGAAGAGGATCCTCTCTTGGATAGCTCTCATGGTGAAAAATAAAAGGAATGGAGCAAAGGGAATTCTCCAATGAATTAAAAAAGGCTTGACGATAATGAACACATGATTGAATCACTGCCTTTCTGTTTGCAGGAGAATGCCTTTGCCTAGACGGCTACATGAAGGACCCAGTCCACAAGCACCTCTGCATCCGCAGTGAGTGGGGGCCCAATCAGGGGTAAGTTATTATAATCACCTGATGAGGTGGTGATTGCTCATTATCAGTCCCGAGAAGAAGAAATGGTGGATAAATCATTCACAATGAGGGAAGCCTCCTACGCATCAAACAAGGATGTTCATTTTCTTGGACAGATAAATCACAAAGAGCTGCGATGTTTCCCATCAGAACGGAGCACCTGAACTACACAGAGTTTAAGCTACTCATTACTCTGTACGCATCAAACACAGAGTCATCTACTGTTGATAGTACCAATCAAATTGTTATTTGCTTAATTAAAGAAAAAAAATGTCAGGAGTACATACAGGATATATTGCTTTAATAGATTTACAAACCTCCTTTATAACAGCGGCCACATTGACGACAAAGACAGAGAGAAAAAGAGTAAAATTCTCTGACATGTTTACCATGTTGTCTTGAGGATGGCTAATGAGACTTAGACTAATTAATAATCCTCAAAGCCAATTTTCTTGGGCCTCTGTTTTCAAATATGTGACAAACAGGTTACTGATTACTGGTTACTGATATTTAGTCTCTAATATGAGTTAAGCTCCATAAACCTACAATCCAACCATTCCCCTAATGCAACCTGTGGCACATTTTCTATGTATTATATTTCAAAATCTACACACCTCTACTTTGTAATACAGGCTTTCTGTTATAAACCTTCAGCCTTCAGGCCCAACACGATCCCATCACTGTGACATCATCATCAGGGGTAGTTTCTTGCTGATTGGGGGAAAGCTCCTCCAGAGTCACAGCCTCCTTTCATCGGCTGAGAAGAGTATTGATCTGCAAATTGGTGGAGTGCCTCTAAAACAAAAACACTGTGGCCTAAAAAGACAGTTGTATGAATTTCAGCAGAGTCAGTAAAGTTGTAGCTGCTTTATCAAGGTTTTTGTTCTGCTCATCTCTTTGGGTGCAAGGTCACTTCCTCTATATTGCAATAATGATTCCAAGTGATTACTTGATATCTTTTGGCTTTGAAAATTGCTGTTTCAGACTCTGTCCCAGGAAGTCATATAAATGCTTAATTGGGTTCACATTTGCCTGTTAAAAAAAGTCCTTGACATTTTGTTAACAGCACAGCCACAGTGCCAACCACTGGGTGACCACTGGGGTGTATGTGCAGGGATGTTACTGTCCCACAAAGAACAAGTCACCTCAGAAAAGACAGTGTTGACCTACAGGACACAGTTCCCTCTGTAACGGGCGTTTAGTGGAGTGTTCTGACATATTATCAGATTATTCTTATTTTATTAGTTGCAAGATGCATCATATTTCAGTTTGACTTCTTCTTTGGAGTGCGCTCACGGGTTGAGTAAAAACATGATATATACTGTGAAAATAAATAAACATGTCAGCGTACTGTTTATACTGTGGTATCCCTCCCTCAGATGTCTGGGTTTATTAGACCGTTTTGGGCATTGTTACAAATCAGTACACAGGACTGCTTAACAGCCGTGTTGGATTTATATATGATTTGTTTTGAATGTGATGAAGTCAGTTGATATTTCAGGTATTTAACTGACTGGATTAACCCAAGACAGACATTCTGACATGTTATCTATGAACAGTATCTAAATGGATTTAGCAGAAAATTGTTGACTATAACGTGATATATAACAATATTTTACATGATGAAACAGGTTATTGTGAATATAGTATAATGCAAAATGAGCTATGTTTGTGAAGAGAGAACAAAATAAGATTCCAAACATATTGAAACTAAGATTGTAATAAGATAAGATAAGATAGTAAGGACAGAGCGAAAATTGTCATTTAAAGACATGTTTCAAAGAGACATATTTCTAGAATAGTTTTGTGTTGATTCAGGCCAATTAAACCTGTATTTCAATAATTATGTCTTCTGCCACCCCCGGTCTACATTCAAATCTCTCATCACTTTAAGTGAGGAAAAACTGCCATGAATTTATTTGTCTTTTAGTAAAACCCCACTATTATGAGGAGCATACTAAGTTATTACCAACACATAACAGTTGGCCACTCAGAGCTCTTCTGCCTATGAGTTAGATTTCATTAAAGTTTAAGTTTGCACACTGCGCTTTAATTTCAAGACAGTCACAAAACGAACACAGGGAACAAAAGAAACGTGGGCGAGGGTTTGATTGACTGAAACATAATAATTATCAGTAAAATATAAAAGCATTAAAATGTATTTTATGAAATTAAATGATTAATGTATCATTGAAATCCAAATTTAAGAAATCACTCAATTTAAAACAACTTTTTGAAACTCATCAATTTATTAAATTGACTGAATGTAATTGAAGTCTAAGTCTATTGTATTTCCAGTGGCACAATCAAGGTTCTATAAATACGTTTCGTGTCATTTTAATATTTGATCATGTTTATTTGTACGACAGTAGTTCAGATGACAGATGACAACCCTGTACTACATCTATTTAAATGCACCCATGTGAACAAGCAATGTATTAAATTGTGCATTGTTTACATATGTTTTTGCTCTTCTCGATCTTCTTACTGGCATTTGTTGGAGTATTGTTATTGTTATATACAGTACATGTGAAACCTTCACTGGGTCACCTGCAGGCTCGTATTCATGCATCTGTATCCTCATGTGCATGCATGATACAAACAAAGCAGGATCCAGTGGTAAAAATAAATCTTCCATGATGTTAATTACGGTCAAAGATTCCACAGGCTACCTTTTAAGAAAAATTCTGAGAATAAATAGATACCTTACTTGGATTTCTTTTATGTGTTGTGGACTGGCACTGGCTTCTACTACTCCTTAAAATCATGTTATCACACAGTGAGAGTGAATTTATTATGAAAGGCAAGAAAAGCTCATGCCACATTCTTGCCTATGATATCACCAGGCCGTGTCTCGCAGCAGACAGAACATGCTATTTCCTCTTTATTTTGACCGTGTCCCGTGCCAACCTCGGTGCATGTTCAAAATGTGGATTCTGAATTTTCCCCTCAGCCCACCCAACTGTGCACCTCTGTATCTCATCTCCCTGGTGCTCTCCCTGTGTCACTGTCGCTGTGTGACAGAGTGGGCACCCTGAGGTGACTTAAATGTTTAATGACCACAGCCTGTGGCGTGGAAGCCGCTCCCCTCTTCCTTGATGTTCTTTTTGCTTACAGTAGTGTAGGAGTTTGCTCAGAATGACATTGGGGCGCTGTCACTTCTCCTCCTTACACTCTCACTTTGCAGACTGTTTAGTCCCCGAGCTGCCACTCCCCATTAATCTCCATCATTCTCCCTCTCTCACTTCTGCCTCTTGGCATCTATCTCACCCCCTCAATGTTCCTCGCTCTCTCGCTCTCGCCGTCTCTTTCTTCCCCCATCGTCTGCTCACTCCGTCACCCTCTGTCTCTACCTCCATCTCTGTGTCTCTTCCTCCCTTTCTGTCTCATCCTGTCATCCTCTCTTATCCCCTCCCCTGGTAAATAGATATGAGCCAAAGTCACATTGCATGTCAGCTGTCAGAAAACACATTTTTCAGTCTACATGTTTACACATAGCACACATCGTAATGCTGTTTGTGATTTGTGGGGCTTTGGGAGGCGGGAATGATGCAAAGTTAGACATTGAAACACGGCTTGTGATTTTAGGGGGGGTTTAGATTAGGAGGATGGGTACACTGAAAAATTTAATGCTTCTCTGGCTTTGATTTTAATACACATTTTATTCTCTCTTCTCTTTTTTTGTCTCGTCCTCTGATCCATTCTTTTTTTCATGCCAGTCCCTGGCCTTACACCATCTTCCAACGCGGTTTTGATCTTGTGATGGGAGAACAACCCTCTGATCGCATTTTCAGGTAAGAGGAACTTCACAAAACTTTGTTTTATATGACTACATTTTTTCCATGGTGCTGCACAATGCTTGCTGCAGAAAAGGTTGTTTAGTGAAATAACTGTTTATAATTCTGGTACTCTAGCTTTTGATTGTCTCTCTACCTTATGATTGTGGGAGGATCCGGAGCTCTGGCTGCAGAATAACCTCTGTAGCTGAGACTGTCTGTTTTTAAAGGTGCTTATTTTCTCTTAGGTCAGATGTGTGTTATGATGTTGAGAATCAACTTTCAAGGTAATTTTACAGCTACGTGCTTGTGGAATTGATTTGAGAGTAAATCCAGTCGGCCAAGGCAGCAATTAATGTTTGGCAATAAAAACTTTTTTTTTCAAAGTGTCATCACATGAACTTAAAAGTTGTCCTCCACGGTATTGTAGCATCAAATTTGTAGTGGGTAATTTTGACCCATTTTCAAGTTTAGATGCATGAAACATACCTTTAGTTTTTCTGATCAAAACAAGGCTGCATTACATCCTCAACAATGGCCTTCTAAATACAATAAAACACATTTTCCTCCTTTTTAAAATCTCTATTTAAAAATGACCTGTGATACAAGACAGCTGTGCATGGAAATACAAATATATGCAGGTATACGTTTTTCATAAGAAAGTATTGGTGGTGAATTTGACCCATAGCACAACAGATGCAACGATAATTGCTCATTTTAACATACAAGTTATTATGGGAATTATTTTTTGTTCATCATTAGCTTAATTATATATTTGCAAGTAATACAATAAATTAATTGTGCCTATTTTTGCAAGAATTTGTCAACTTTACGTCTAATGTGGTCTAAGGTACATAAAATATCAAAACAAGTATAAATATATTATAGTTATGGATGATTCCTACTTAAGAGTACTTAAGCATAATTAATGAATTAGTGTTTTTTCAGTGCTTGTTAATGAATTCAAACACAAAAGGTGTAAAACCTTTTCTAACACATTAGGAGGGTTAAAACTTTATGTCACCATTACAGGTGTCTTCTATTGTTTGAACCAAACAATAAAGTTGCAGCCTCTGAAAGCAAAGCAATTAGCTGAAAAATGCTAACATGCTTCATAGAGCTGAGTGAATTTGCAGAGTCGGGTGATAATCCCCAATGGATTTGTCACTATGAGTGACCGCTTCCACGTAACACAATGTCTACACAGGAGGAGCAGCTTCAGTGCTCTGTCTGTCTACACAGACCTGTACGGGCCAAAATATGCTTTGAGTTGCAATCACTCATGTAAAATGCTAGCTCTTACGCGTCCCGTGCAGACAGCTGTGCTGATTCGAATAAGAGCCGTGAGACACATGAGAAAAACACAGCTGAGACGCCTCCCGTGTTGACATGCCATAACACATATCACTTAGTAAAAGGCGATGATAAAGCACTTGCACACGCTGTGCCAAGCACCACACAGCAGGCAGACAAAGTTAGCGACTAGCTATTGAACATGGTTGAACACCTACCTGTTAAAGAGCCAGATCACTTTCACAGGAGTTGGTGCAGATACGAACCAAAGCTAAAAGAAAAAGAGTGAATATTGGATGCTATGATGAATGCTAATGCTGCTCCATGTTTGCTGGGGAACTGTTAGCGAACACAACTGTTTGATAACACATTTGCTCTAACAACCTTCTAAGGTGATAATATATCCTTTGCTGTTCTGCACCTTGCTTGCTGCCCCCACGTGGTGAAATGAATTAATGCTGCTTTAAGGATGTAAGTAAAATGTAAACAGTGATGTCAAAATGTGTTTAAATAATTGACAGGAAATGTTCCATAAATATAGCACACATAGTTGACAGGATGTTCACTGGGGAGCATTTCACAAAGAAACACAGAGCAGAGCCCGTGTCTGTGATAGAGATACCTAACAATGTTTATACCAGCGTTTTCCTACCAAAATGATTCATTCCCTGACTTGAGACAGAGCAGGTCTAACAGACTCTCTGACTCCCTCTCTGATAGTACAGCGGCAAAAACAACAAAAAGGCTGTTTGTGGTACTGCTTACAGTAAAAAGGAAACCTGTACAGTTCATGTGGGCCACTCTTGTGGCTGTTAGCACGCTAAAGTGTCACACCTTACATCCAGAGTTTCTCTTTTTATTAGAGGCCAAAACTGCAACTGCGCCCATATACATTGTGTTCTTTTGTGTCACTGCTGGACAACTAATTGCCCTTCGAGGACGAATAAAGCAATTGATTGATTTAATATCTCAATGCTACACTGTCCTCCCTGCTAGCATGTTTTCTGCAGGAGCCTTTTCCTTCTCATTCTATCCAGCGGTGCAGTTTAAAATGCCTTTGTCCTCAGACTGCTCCCACCAAGCCATCCATCCTCATTTAAAACGTGTCAGTCTCTCGCTTTTAACTTCACCAAACCGCCACACGTCGAAAAAAGGACCTTGAATGTCACCTGGTGCTCGGAGAGCTGTGCTGGCCATCATCTTGTGCGCTTAAGCAGACAAAGTATTACCATTAAACAAAGAAGCAATTGAGGCAATTAGAATCACAGTGGTATAGAGGGTAGAATGGAACAAAGCAAACTCGAGGATGCATGAAAAATTCTCCTAAGAGTCGGCGTTGAAACACACCAGCATTTGCCATTTGCACAGCATTAACTGCCAGGAGCTCCTCTGTGGACTGCGAACATGTTTTCCACTCAACAACTGTTTTCCCAGGGGAACTCTTAGTGTTTTCCACCTCCAGTTTCTCGCAGGGTAAACCAAATAAGTCATATAGCAGCTAGTCCCCAGTTGTCTATGAAGCAGTGCTCGTTAAGTGGGTGCTAATTTGTTCTGTGGTCACCCATATACGTCACACTGCATCACAGGGAATTTCAGCTCTCCTGTTGTACACGGTCCCATAAGAAATGGTGAAATTACTCATGAGAGAGGTGGAAACAGCTTCCAGAAAAATAAAACAGACATATTACCATTCTGGTTTAGACTTACCACCTTATAATAACTTGCAAGAACCCAAGGTCTCACAGTAAATGGAAGAGCATCAGCACTTTGATCCACTGGAAACTTGAGTTGAAACAAAGGCAGTAATTGGCTGGATGTAATTAAGTGTTCTGTTTCTACAGTGGTTTAATCATTCTGTTTTTAAAGTGACTGGTAATGCATGCAGTTCCCATGATTCACTGCCCTTTCCTTATGCTAAGTTAGCATTTTATTAAATGCAAATTGAACAATTGTAAATGAGGAAATGTGTTTAGTCTGCATAAAAGTGGTTGTTAACCATTTAATCAACAAGTTCCCCTCTTTTGTGCTACAAGTATGCATGCATAATTCATCAGCGCTAATAATGCATTTGATGTTAATCAGCGTGGACTGTTTAACTTAAAGTTGGAAGCAATGCATTTTATGTGCAGAGTGTTTAAAGATTGATGATATTCATTGCCTCGCAAATAAAGAATTGTTTTAAAGCCCTTGTTGCAGACATCTGTTGTTTACAGATTTACAGGACTGTTTGGTCTCTGGGGAAACTCTCATTGGCCCTTTTATGTCTGGGTTTCTCATTAGGTATGCATCGCGTCAGTTAGCACACAGTGTCCTCCTGCACAACAAAGAGTTATGCAAGACGGATAACTTTGCTGAAAATAAAAAATAAAAAAAATCAGCTTATTCAGAGTCACTGATGAAGTGAAAACATTCATCTATCAAAAGTAGCCATTTTGACATGATAGGGTGGTTGTTTTTGCTTTCTAGTGTAGTGTCACTGATTTTACGTCACTGATTTTACATATAAAGTTCATTTAGAGGGCGACACGGCGGTGCAGTGGTTAAAACTGTCACCTCATGGGAAGAAGGTTCCGGCTGGCTGGGAACTTTCTGACAGGAATTTACTATATGTTGTCCCTGAGCCTGCGTGAGTTTCCTCCCACGGTCCAAAGACGACTCTAAATGTGAGCAGTAATGGTTGGATGCGTGGCGTGTGCGTCGCAGCTGTGGAACGCCTTCGTTTTCATTTCATTCATTATTTGCAAACAATTAGTAATGAATACATGAAAAAGATAAATAATGCCTCCATAAAGGTTATAATGTTGAGTTTTTGTTGAAACTGCTTTTTTAGCCTACCCTCATTGATTTGAATTAGGTGGACAAAATAATAAGAAACAGCTTCACCACAAACCACATCCTCCAAAATGATCACACAGCTCCTCTTTAACAGGTTCAGTAAACCATGAACTCTGAACCCTTCATGAAGGAGGAATTATTAAAGACAGCTGTATAAGACTGCATTAGTTTTGACTGGCTGTTCCCAATAATTTGGCAAATGAGTGCATGTCAGTGTTGTGTTTACAATTTGTTTCTGCTGCCCTCTAGTGACTAAAATAACCATTTATTTCACCTTTAAGCAAATTGCTCCGCAGCTTACTCACTGAATGAAACTAAGCAGATGTTTGATGAACTTTTCCAATCATGTTCCAAAGCTGCAAATAAATCTATAGTTTTCTCTTTATTAATCAACAGTAATATATAGAGATTCTTATATTCACATTCCATTTGAGTCTTTTTTGTCAACAATATTGATGTGGAGGAGATTCTCAGGTTTTGTTTAATGAAGTCAGTTCAGTTCATCCTAAATACAAATATACAGTGTTTTGATATTTGGTGAACAGCTTTTGTTGATGCCTTTCAATGAAGAACTCATCACAAGTCAACAGGATATTCTGTGCTGCATGGTCAATATCATTGCCTTGTTTCAAAGTTGTTGTTTTTTTGAAAAGTCTAAACCTGTGACCTTACTTGTCTCGTGCGCCCTTCTCGCCCTCTGCAGGTTCACGTACACCTTAGGAGAGGGGATGTGGTTGCCGTTGAGTAAAAGCTTTGTCATCCCCCCAGCTGAGCTCGCCATCAACCCCTCAGCCAAGTGCAAGACGGACATGACGGTCATGGAGGATGCGGTGGACGTACGGTGAGAGATGACATTTACTGGTTCCCCTTTCACCTCTCTCTGAAGTGATGACATGATGATAGAAGGTCCAGCTGAAGAAATAAAAGGTTTCACAAGGCTGTGAAGCAAGGCAGGATTTTGCTGAGTAAGAGCTACAGCAAGTTTCCTTACCACGAGTTTCAGTCCATTCTTTGAGAGTTTTTGTCTCGGATAAAGCTTCACAATACAGAAAGTACATATTGGCTTTTTGATAAATTAACCCGCCCCCCCACTCAAAAAATAAATAAATAAATAACACCACCACCACTACGCCTTGCAGACTGCAGCTGCTGTTGACTCTCTGAACACGTCTCACTGTTTGTACTCTCACTTAATCAGCATTTGTTTTTTATTTATTATTGTTGCAGTGAGTCTCAAGCATCCCAGTGAGGTGGATGCAGAGGTCTTAGCAGTCATGATTCAGAGGGTAATAAAACTCAAAGATCTAGCACATAATCAATTATAAAGAGGCAGAAAAACTAGAGTAAAAAAAAAAAAAATAAGAAGAAAGAATCACTTGGCAATTCAAAGCCATAAAAAGGGTTTCGATTGTTAAATGGTTCATAACTCCTTCAAAGAAAATCTGCCCTGTGTGCAATGACTGTGTTTGTGGCTGGGCTGCAGAGAGACCCATAAATGAGCCAAAACAATGCTGCAGTATTAAACTGGACTCAGCTGACAGCAGTGGCACTACAGGATTATTTAGCTGTTTCACTTTGGTAGCAGTGGGGCGGGGCCTAATAAATTCTAGATCAGGCCTTGTGCCCCGCCCACCACCGCTGCTTGCTCTAGGTTGACGGGCGAAAGAGCAAGATGGTTAGAGTTAGAGAAAACATCGATGAGACTCATCCACTTGTTTGAGCCTCGGTCAGACCAAGACTTAGATGAGGAGTCTGTTCAGTCAGAACGGTTAACGTAGTCAGCATCGTTTATTTGTTAGCTTGTTGTGATTTGAAATTCTTGTGAGCTGAAGAAAACACTATGATGAGGAGTTCAGATGTCTCAGGCAGGAGTATTCATTGCACCACAGAGAAAGTGATGAGCAGTACAATGACAGCAAGTGAACCATCGTAGTGGTGCCACACCAAGTTCTGAAGATGTCTTGTCTGACAGAGGGTATAGATTTGCAGGTATCACATGGTTACAACATTTTACCGCATCTTATTCCAAATAAGGCAAAACTTTATCCTAAACATTTATGTGTGAAGATGCTATTAGACACCAAAATCTGCCTTGTCACATGTTCTTACCTAATTAATATTACATGTGTCTTGTCTTTTCCCCTGGTTAGCTCATTCTTGACAATGACTGGATTTATGGAGTATTCTCTCAGTTTATGCTTTTCTTTACCTTCTTATCTATAAGACCTTGGTTACCCCGGCGGCGGAGGATAACAGTGTCTCCGGATGTGTATAAAACAGTGAAGGTCGGACCATAAGTGAGGCCTAGGAATACAAGATGAACACCAGAAGTGAGAAAGATCTCCTTCACACTTGTTATCTTGTAGCTGGCAGTGGCTGACACAGTGTTAGTGGTTGTGCAAATGCAAACTCTCTCTCTCTCTCTCTCTCTGTACTGACAAAGTTTTGGATTTATTAAGCCCCACCCCTGGTCCCCACAAATTGCCGGGATTGGTTTGTTAGGTTTGTGACGTATGAAACCCTGGCTGTCTGAATCTGTTTTTATGAGACCATCATTGGTTCACTGCAGTTCAAGGTGGAAACACTCAGTCATGGAGTTGACTGCCTTCTTTGCATTATATGTAAAAAAAAAACATCATGTGGGCGTGTTAACAAGGTTAATAACTTGATTTTCACTGGAGGGGGTCTTCAATAACAAGACAGACATGTTATGAATGCGCTCAGACTGTGACAGGTATCACAAAAACTTCTGGTGGGATGTCCATGAAATTGACAGAGGACATTCCTGGGAATAAAGTCTGTTGTTTTTTAATCGACAGTGACGCGAGACGCCATGAGTCCAAACTTCTGACAAGTTTAACAGCCAAATTCTTCACACTTAAGCAACTAAACTATTCATTAGATGCATTTGGGAGGAATCCTGTACAGTTAGAAAAAGTTGCTGCCTACCTTGTAATAGTAGATTACTTTTTAAAACAATATTTTACAAAGTTCCCCACAACATTTTAGACACTGCATAATGTAATTTACTTATTTTGTTAGATGTCAGATTGTGGTTGAAAGCATTATGATGCAAAGACAGCAAAGGCCTGATTTACATAGTGTTGGTATATTGATTTTAAATCTCGCCTGACCACTTAGGGAACAGTTTAATTACATAAGTTAAAGAATCCACATAAATCTACACATTAGTCTGAAAGCCTAAACCCAGCAGTGCAGAGCCCAACATTATTTTAGGAATTTAATGTAAATGTGACTCCAGAGGATGTAACGCATAGATATACCACCATGTTTCCCCCCTTTCTCCCCCAGCTTTTCCTAAGTGTACTGTAGTAGTACTTTGCTCATTGGTCAGCAGGATTAAGACTCACTGAGAGAGGTAACATGGCTGCAGCTGGTCTGAAATCATTATGTTGCAGCATAAAGTCTGTGTGACCAGGATTAGTTTGCAGAGAAGAGGCAGGTTAATGTAATTAGTAGTGGGGATTGTCTCGGAGTGTATGATGGAACATGCCCTGTCAACACGTTAGTGTGCACAGCCGTGTCATATCCTTCCCTAATTTGCTGATGGTTATTTGCCCTGTAAAAATTCTGTCAGGTAAAATTAGTCTCGCTCAAATTAATATCATCATCATTTCTTCCTATTAGCATGTAGGCAGTTGCTAATTTTAAGCCCTCGGATGACTGAGACGTGAAGAAGTCCTACCGCAGGATACTGTAAAATAAAACAACATTGTCAGTAACTCATGCCTCCAGTAGACTGTCTCTGCTATTTTTATTTTTCCAGCTACTTATCAAATAGTGTTTGTCTCTAACACAAAGAATGTGTTTGTGTAAATATACAGTGTGTTAAGTGCGTGATGTAGTTTATTTAAAGTTTCTGTTACACAATGTTAATGTCACGTTCACTGATCAGTTTGTCCATTAATGTCATTTCTTATTTCTCAATTTATCAAACGTCAAACATGCATATAACGTAACTGATGTAGGGGCAGGATGTGTTTTTATGTAAATAGCTAAAGGGTTCATTCATGTAGTTTTGTTATTGTTTCCACAAAGCAGCTGCTAGACATGGATGAAGAGGAGAGAGCTCAGTTGGGGCCTGAAAATAAAATTGCGATGCTCAGGTGTGGAGGGGGTTGCACCTGGGACACAAGGCTTTCACAGTTGAGCCCTCTGGTGATGTATGGGCTCGAATCGAGAAAATATCCATGAAGGGGGGGTTCAGGTTTTAGGACACACCAGAGACCGCTCTCCTGAGGGTGACAAATGATCTGCTCTTCTGTCTGGATTCAGGAAATTACACTATTTTAATCAACACAGTCTATCACGCCATCCTCTTAGATTGCCTTAAGCATGTTATTGGCATTCAGGGACAAACCCTTCAGTGGTTTGCCTCCTACCTCCAAAACAGATGAGCCTCTGATAATGAATACTCTTCCTCTGCACTCATCGTTTGTGGAGTACCGCAAGGCTCCATATTAGGTCCTGTTTTATTTTCTCTATACATGATTCCTTTCAGGTCTATTTTCAGAAAATGTAATATCTCCTACCATTGTTATGCTGGCGACATCCAGCTGTACCTGCTGCTGAAGCCTTGTGATCCATGCAGTGTTGATCTCTTTTTAAATTGCACCAAGGATGTAAAATCCTGGATGGCAAAAAGTTTCCTTCAGCTAAACCAGAGTAAAACTGAGATCCCAACGTTTGGCTCCGCAGACAACTCAGCAACTACAACCAATGCCCTCGGGCCTCTGTCGTTGAATATGAACTCCTGTGCACAAAACCTCTGTGTTATCTTTGATTCTGGTTTAAAATTTGATAAACAAATCAACCCAGCTGTCAGCACTGGCTTCTCCCAGTTTCGATCACTTTCAAAATAATAATTCCTGTGCATTAAAGATTTGGAGACTGTAGTTCACGCTTTTATTTCCTCCTGCCTCAATGACTGCAGCCCTCTCTCTGTAAGAATCAGTCAGTCAACCTTATCTCGCCTGCAGCTGCTTCAAAATGCAGCAGCGCGACTCCCTGCACCAAGAAGAGAGACCACATCTCCAATGAACTGGCCTCTCTTCACCGGTTACCAGTGAAGTACACAACTGATTTGAATTGACATGACTTGACATATGTCTTGTGGGAAAAGTAAAAAACACAAGATAATTAGTTATATAAAATTTTCCAAACAAATTGTCTTCGTCTTCACTGACCCAATTAATAAATCCTATTGATCTTTGTGACATTTAGCTCATAATTAATTATTTATATTGTATATATGCTGATTATATAATTTTGTTAACAAGAGCAAAAACATTTAAATGATCAGTGCTGAGGCCTGCATCAATGCCTGCAGCTCCTTAGACACAAAATAGTGAAAGAAAAAATATTATATATATATATATATGTATATATATATATATATATATATGTATATATATATGTGTATATATATATATATATATATATATACGAGGAAATAGCTTTTTACTCTCTTAATAAATCTTAAAGGACCAGTGTGTAGGATTTAGGAGGCTCTATTGACAGAAATTAATAAATTTTTACTAGTGTCTTATCAACTGAAACTAAGAATTGTTGTGTTTTCGTTAGCTGAAAATGAGCGCTATACATCGGCATACATTTACATAAGGAGTGGGTCCTCTTCCACAGAGCCCACCGTGTAGCATCAGCATGTTTCTACAGTAGCCCAGAATGGACAAACCAAACACGGGCTTTAGAGAGGGCCTTTGGCGTTTTTGTTTGCCGTAAAGCCGTAGTGTCTCTTACACTCTTGGAAAGGGAGGGATGTTCAGTTGGTTGCGATCTGCAACCTCACCACTAGATGCC